GTGCGTGCTGGTGAGATGGCTTAGTGGGTAAAGGCATGTGATATCAAGCCTGGCTACCTTAGTTTCATTCCAAGATCCACATGGTGGAAGGAGAAAGCCAATTACCTCAAGTTATCCCATGACTTCCACATATTGACCTAGCATGCACTGGTGTACACAGGAACATACACACAAAGAAATAAACACAAATGTAATGCAAAATGTTTAAAAAGAAAATAGAAGCCAGGTGGTGGTGGTGCACACCTTTAATCCCAGCATGTGGGAGGCAAAGGCAGGTGGATCTCTGAGAGTTCCAGGCCATTCTGGTCTAAAAACAAGTTCTAGGATAGCCAGGGTCACACAGAGAAACTGTCTTGAAAAACAAAACAAAAATGGAAGGACTTGTTGGGAAAAAGGAGTCCAGTAGGAGGGAGAAGACGGAATTAGGAGAAGGAACATGATCAAGGTAAATTAAATATTGCATGAAAGAGTGAAAGAGTTATCCCTCAATTTCTTTGTAGAGTCCACCAGTGTAACAATCAGCTCTGGGCTTTGGGAAAATGTTTGACTGCTGATATAATCTCCTACAAATTATCAGTCTGTTTGTATTTTCTTTCTTTTTTTTTTTTTAGTTTTTTTTTTCAAGACTGGGTTTCTCTGTAGCTTTGAGGCTGTCCTGGAACTCACTCAGTAGAACAGGCTGGCCTCAAACTCAGAGATCCACCTGCTACAACCTCCTGAGTGCTGGGACTAAAGGTGTGCACCACCACTGCCCAGTTGTTCGTATTTTCTTAAACAAACATTTTAATTAATTAAATTATTCTGTATATGCATATTCTGTATATGCTCATGGCATGGCACACCTGTAGAAGTCAGAGGACAACTTTCGGGGATTTACTCCTTTCCTTCCACTATGTGGGTTCTAGGGATCACAGGTCCTCAGGCTAATAGGTAATTATCCCTACCCACTATGCCATCTCTCTAGACCCAAAACCTTTTTGCTTTAGACAGGGTTTCATGGTATTGCAATACATTTTAAGAATATTAACTGAGAGACTGAAAACACAGCTCAGCAGCACCAGCTCCTCTTGCAAATGATCTGAATTCATTTCCCAGCATCCTCATCATGGCTCACAACCACCTGTAACTAAAGTTTCAGGAAACCTGACAAGCTCTTCTAACCCCTGCAATCACCAGGCATGTACACGGTACATATACACACATGTAGACAGGCATTCATACACATAGATTATTAAAAAAATAAGCCCAGTGTGGTAGTGTGCGCCTTTAATACCAGTGCTCAGGAGGCAGAGGCAGGCAGATCTCTGTGAGTTCAAGGCAGCCTGGTCTACAAAGCAAGTTCCAGGACAGCCAGAGCTACACAGAGAAACCTTGTCCAGGTAAAACCTAAATAAATAAATAAAAATGAAAAATAAAAAGGCTGGGAGTGGTGGCACATGCCTTTAATACCAGCACTCAGGAGGCAGAGGCTGGAGCATGTTCTAGGACAGCTACATAAAGAGATCCTGTTTCAGAAAAGAAAAAGAAAGGAACAAGGTTAACTGTTAGAAATGCGACAGATGAAATTTCCATTCAGATTTTCCAATCTCAAATGACACAATATATCAGATGTCATCTCATTTAAAAACTTCCACCTAGCTATGTAAGTACCTAATATTTATCAATGGCACTATTTAATTTCCTAAACCTGGGGATGAGGTGAAATGCTGTACTGAAACTCAAAACATTGACAAATTATAAAATTTCTTACCTTTGCCCTATGTTCAACATTGGCTTTACGGTCCAAAAGCAAACTCACTACTTCTGCTCGGCCCTGGAAACAAGCCAGCGTGAGAGCTGTGTTCCGATTGGTCTCTATTTGTGCATTAATATCTGAACCCATATCAAGCAGCAATTTCACTGCAGGAACATGTCCATTCATTGCAGCCAACATCAGAGGAGAAATACCTAGTTTACTCCCAGTCCTAAGAAAGAAATGTGCTTAGAAAATTAGTATAATAACTTAAAAAAAAAAAAAAAGCATGACAGATGAAAATGTCAACACAGATGTCTACATAGATGAATAGATCTGTCTAAATCAGGAATCACAAAATCTCATAATTTAAAACATAACTCTTAGAGGAAACTGTGTTTGGGATGTAATATAGGAGAAAAGAATAAAAACGAAACAAAAACCAACACAATTCCTTCTTAAGATGCTTAACCCTAAGGTTAGAAACTCAGCAATCATGAATGATAAGATGAATGAACAGGTGATACCTTGAATTAATTTCTGCTCCAGCATTAAGCAAAATCTTAATAATATTCACATATCCTCCAGATGCAGCCAGACTCAGTGGTGTATAATCAGACACATTTCTATGTTCTTTATTGGCTCCTCTGGCCAGCAGCAAATCAACCACCTACAAAGTAAAGTAAAATATGGACAGAGAAACCAAGTTTATACCTAGTACTCAACTTAAAATGAAGGAAACACAAATAAATAGGACCTATAATTTTCTTGTCTAAATATCTGACTTTTTTTTTTTTTTTTTTTTTTTTGCCGAGACGGGGTTTCTCTGTGGCTTTTGGAGGCTGTCCTGGAACTAGCTCTTGTAGCCCAGGCTGGTCTCGAACTCACAGAGACCTGCCTGCCTCTGCCTCCCAAGTGTTGGGATTAAAGGCGTGCGCCACCAACGCCCGGCAGTAAATATCTGACATTTTAAATATATTTTATTAGGTCTTAAGCATTAAAATATCAGCACTAGATAAACGGATTCAATTTTTTTTTTTCAGGCTGACCTGAAACTTGAAGCAATTCTCCTGCCTCTCCCTCCTAATTGCTAAGATTATGAATATTCACTACCATGCCCAGCTGAATTTCATATCAAGAAGTTACAAAACTGTGAGTCTGTGTGGTAGCTCATGCTTATAATCCCAGCTCTCTGGAGGGTGAATCAGAAGGATCGTTCAAGGTTACCCTCAGTAACATAAGAGACAGTGACTCAAACAAACAAATTCAGAGTGTTGGGCTCTGTGCAGTGGCACACACCTGTAATCCCCGTGCTAGTAAAGTGAAAGCAGTAATTCAAAATTAGCCTTAGTTATAATGAGTTGAAGGCCAACCTGGGCTACATGAGACCTTGTCCTAAAAATCCATGGCCAGGCAGGGAAAAGAAATTCAGAGCTTTAAAATTCCAGTAATAGTGAAATAAGACCTTTTCCATTTGTCAATTACTAAGCAATAAATTGTTCTCAACTTGTGGGTCACAGCCCCTTTCAGGGGTGACCCTTTCACAGGGGTCCCATATCAAACATCCTGCATATTGTAACATTACAATTCAGAACAGCAGCAAAATTAGTTATGTATCAATGAAATAACTTTATGGTTGGGGTCTCCACAACATGAGGAACTGGATAAAGGGTTTTAGCATTAGGAAAGTTGAGAACCACTGGTTTATTGAACTTGTTTTACATGTAGTTAAAATATTAATCATGGGGTTGGAGCAACAGCTGAGTAGTTAAGAGAACCTACTACACTTGCAGAGTTCAGTCATTCCCAGCACCCAAATCAGGCAGTTCATAACCATCTATAACTTCAGCTTTAGGATCTGAAATCTTTGGGCTCCATTGGCATCTGTGTGTGTGTATGTGTGTACACACATATATATCTCGAAAAAGTAATAAGAACATATACATTGAAAACTATAAACAGAATAGTTACAAAAGAAAACTAATGTTAACATACCTCCTGACGTCCACCAGAACATGCCAAAGAAAGTGGAGTATCCTTAGTTCGTTCAGACTGTGCCTCTATATCTCCACCTTTATCCAAAAGGATTTCAACAACTCCAACATGCCCTGCTGTTGCAGCCAGGATCAGTGGGGTAAAACCTAAATTAGAAAATAAAAAAATTCTAACAAATATGTGGTTTTAATTTACTTTAATGCCACTCTTTTCAATTCCCTTTTATTTTAAAAGACTTCAGGGCAGATACTGATGAACAATTTAGCATCAAACTGCTCCAATTTATTAATTTTAAAACACACAAACACCCGGCAAAAGGAAATGCTAAATCATTGGAAACTATTAAAATTTATAATCACAAACCACCTCAGGATTAAAGACAAAGGCATCCACAATTTGTTTTTTGAGCCTAGGGCCTGAAGCACACAAGGCAAGAGCTCAACCCTGCAACTCCATCACCTTCACTAGTAATTTGTATATTGCTTTTTAATTTTTAGAGAATTATTGGTTCTATAGATGAATGAGCCTGGACACTGCCTATTTTTAATTGCTAAAGATATAAGAACTACTTATTCATAGCGAAAACTCTACAATTTTAGGTTGTATGTAAACACAAATAAATCACTTTATTTGTGAGTGATATTTCTTACCTTTTTTGTCTCTGTGCTCAATTTTAGCGTCTCGTGCAATGAGAACAGATACAAGTTCTTCATGACCACCTGCACAGGCCAGTGTTAAAGCTGTGTCATGATTGCTTTCAGTCTAAGAGGAGAAAAAAATACTTATTCATATATAAAAGAGTTCTCAATAAAAACTATTTCCCTCATAACTCTACAATGACAATTTTTCCTTTCAAATTAAATTAGAACATGTGAAATAAATTTATACAGAATCTACTCACATGTGCATCAATGTCAACTGAAGGATATACAGGGGGTATGGATGGGGAAACCATATTGCTTGGAGTCTGAGAACAGGATTCGGGTGTAGGACATTCTATGGTTTGAGGGGGATTGTTTGAACCAGCAGGCACTCTGGTACTCACAGCTGAAAAATAATGTTTGTATTGTTAAGTTTCACTTAAATGAATAATATTGTTTGTACATAGAAAAACATGTAAAACAGAAATGTCCATATGAGTAACATACTACAGTGAAATCACAAGCCTTGGAGTCAAAGAACCTGTATTGATTGCCTTTCTGAACTCATGCAATTAATTTAACTTATTTGGCCCTCAATTTGTATGTACAATGAAGATAAGAATAGTGACTGCCTTGAAAAGTTTCTGGGAAGATCACTTGAGATAATAAGAGTAACTGAGCATAGGGCCAGTTGTTAGTAGATATATAATAAATGGTGACATTTTGCACAGCCAATAGGGAGTATATAATTTCTTAAATTTAAGAATTTTTAGTCAGTTATGGTGATCCATACTTGTAATTTTAGGACTCAAAAGTCTGAGATTAAGAGGATTACAAGTTTAAGGCCAGAATGGGATACCCCTCAAAAAAAAAAAAAAATCAAACAATGCTTATCTTAGTTTACAAGAGTTAGACAAAAATATTCTGTAAATAATGAAAAGGGGCAGGTCAGGGAAGGACAGGGCAACAAGCTAGATAATTTTTCACACAGACAAACAGCAGGGAATATGTTTTTTAAAATTCAGCATTTACTTTTTTTTTCTCTTCTCTTGAGTCAGGGTCTCACTATGTAGCCCTGGCTTTCCTGGAATTCTCTATGTAGGCTAAGCTGGCTTTAAGCTCAAAAATGCCTTCTGGGATTAAAAGAGGACTACACAGAGAAACCCTGTCTCAAAAAAAAAAAAGAAAAAAAAAAAAAAAAGCATGCACCAGTTAGGTAAAATCAATTTTTAAAAGTTAACCTATTTAAAACTGAATACTAGAAATTTATATTTGAGATCACAACATTTGGAGTTTGAAGTTTTAAATGGTGATACATTCCAGTAATTCTAGTACGTGGAGCCAGCAAGGCCAGAAGTTCATGGTCATCCCCTGCTACACAGCAAATCCAAACCAGCCTGGCCTTCATGAGACCTTGTCTCAGAAAAACAGAAACAAACCCACAATGTGCTGTTTGAAAACAGAAAGTTGAAAATTATATTTTATGTCTCTTATATCTTTGTTTCATGAAGGATGGAGTTTTGACTCACAAAGGGTTAAGTGGGACCAATCTTAAAAAGATGTTAGTAATTTGTAAAACAATGTTGTATTTAAAGCACTTACCAGTGCCTGGCACAAGGTAAATGCTCAATTAAATGTAAAATGAGACATTTTACAATACTTTCAGTACTATTATCCACTGTATTAGAAAATAAAAACATTACTGTTTAAGAAAAAAAATATAACCAATAGCATTGGAAAAAATGAAACTTTCACGATGGCAATAAACTTATAAATGACTCAAGTTAGTAGTTTACTAGATCTTTTAATATTTAATTTTTTTCCCCCAAGACAGGGTTTCTCTGTAGCCCTGGCTGCCCTGGAACTCACTCTGTAGACCTCGAACTCACAGAGATCTATCTGCCTGACTGTGCCTTCCAAGTGCTGGGATTAAAGGTGTGCACCACCACTGCCTGGCCTTAATTTTTAATTTTTGAAGATACAGTCTCATGTACTCCAGGCTGGCCTTGAACTATTGATCCTCCTGCTCTCCCTTCCAAGTGTTGGGATTATTGGTATGTGCCAATCCCAGTTTAATTTAGTAGAATTAGCAAAACTTAAGATGCCTAGATTTGCTTCTGCATAAACCATCTCCTTTACTTCCCACTGATATATAAAATCATCTTGCCAATATAAATTCCAACAGCTTTATTCACCACAAAAATAACTTCTAGGTATCCAGCTATAAATAGAAACTACTATAATATCATAAACTTTTATTTACCTAAAGAATATGCACAATGGACACAAAGCTTTAAAACTTTTTTTCATTCAGCGAAAGAAGCAGATAACGTTACATCTCAAAATACCTGATATGTTTGAAAGACAGCTCCAAAAAACAATAGCCCCCCCCAACATACTAGATTGATATGTAACACCTTACTGACAGATTTTCAGTAGTGGGTCTTATAATTATTAACATATACCTTAGAAAAGAATTATATTTCTATCAGTTTATTCATGTCATTTCTTTTTTAGTGTTTTTTGAAAAGCAAGGTATTTTAAAAATTTTAAAAAGTATTTGACTAGCGTGGAAAGCTAGAATGTGATGTTATGAAAGATTCCTTTACAGAACTTACTTTAAAAACAACAGAAAAGACCACTTCCTGTGTATTTAACAGCTCTATTACCCAAAACATGGTATTATGTTTTATACATTTTATACTATATTATCCTAAGATATTTTCTCTGTAATAATGACAATCAGAACCATTCCATGGAAAGTGACTTTAATAGGATTAATTACAAATGAAAATTATAAAGGTTGTATTATAAGAACATTATACTTTAGAAACATGACATTTTCATAAATTTTAAAACAATTCCTATCTCTTAAGAACAAAATGTTTCTTAAAATGACAAAATCAGACAACTACAACAAAAAAATCAATATACAATTCAAATTAAATTTTTACGATGTTCAAAAGTAGGGCAATAGAAGAACCAAGTATAATATTTCTAACCTGACTTTTTATGAAACCAAGCAAAATTTTGTAAATGGTATGGGATAATAATATATTTTAACATAAAAAGTTTATTTCTATTAGGTAGACAAAATATGTTGTAAAATTTTATCACTTAGTGGACATGGTGCTGCCCACCTATAAATCCTACTACTTGGGAGATAGAAGCTGAAGTTTAAGTGTTAGGAGTTTAAGGCTAGTCTGGACTACATGAGACCCTGTCTCAAAAACAAACAGAAGCTTCAGGCCTGGTAGTACAAGTTTATAACCCAGCTGCTCCAAAGGCCAAGTCAGGAGGATCACAAGAACAAGGCCTGCCTGTCTATAGGGTGAATTTACAGACACTGAGTAAGTGACATCCCATTTCAAAATCAAATCAAAACAAAAAAACTGGGCAGAGAATATAGATAGAAAAATTCCCTAACATTTTGATATCTCAAAAAAAAAAAAAACCAAAAAACAAAAAGCAAACAACAACAACAACAAAAAAAACAGCAGAAATTTTATTGCTATCATTTGATATATGTCATAGTAATGATAAAACAGTTTCATTTCAATTAAAACATAGGTGGGGTGGTAGTGGCACACTCCCTTATTCCCAGCATTCAAGAAGTTCAAACTCTGAGATCCGCCTGCCTCTGCCTTTAAGGGCCAGGTCAGCCTGGTCTACAGGGCTAGTTCCAGGATAGCCAGAGATACAGAGAAACCTTGTCTTGAAAAACAAAGTTAAAGCTTAAAAAAAAAAAAAAAAAAGTTAATATTAGAGGTAATTATTATTCAAAATAGCTTATAAATCCCCTCAAAATAGGAGAATTTCTTAATTCTTTGGTAAAAAGACTAATTTTATTTTTAATTATTGTATGTGTTATCTGTGTGTGTGTCACATATATATTCAAATGCCCAGAGCTAAATTTTGATTCCCTGAAACTGGACTGGTTTGTATCTCTCTGTGTGTGTGTGTGTGTGTGTGTGTGTGTGTGTGTGTGTGTGTGTGTAAGAGACAGGATCACACTATGTAGCCCTGGCTGGCCCGGAACTCTTTACATAAACAAGGTTGGCCTTAAACTCACAGAGCCACCTGCCTCTGCCTTCTAAATGCTAGGATTAAAGGCATGTGCCACTATGCTCAACTCTACTGGTTATTGTGAGCCACCTAACACGGGTACTGGGAACTGAACTTGGGTCCTCTGGAAGGACAGTACATGCTCTTAATCTCTGAGCCATCTTTCCAGCCCTAAGTTTTTATTTTTAAATGTAACAATGATCACTGCAGTTTCACTTAAAGGAAATTACATTAAAACGGTAATTTAAACAAATGCAAAGTGCCAACAGTAACACTGTATTAGACACAAAACTGTATTAAAACTCACATACATATCAAATCTTAATATAAAAATAAGAGCAAATGTTATTTAATAGGATTTGAAATATAAGAATTAATAGCATTTTTAAGATAAATGCAGAATTTTAAATCACATGCATAACATGACAAGTAAGGCTCCTTTTTTTTTTCTTTTTAAAATAAAAGACAGGTTCTCATTATGTAGCTCTAGCTGGCCTGGAATTCAGGCCTGCCTCTGCCTCATGAGTCCCTAAATTCAAGGCCTGCACCACCATGCCTGGCTTCAACTGAGTGCATTTCTTTCTTTTTTTTTTTTTTTAAAGATTTTATTTATTTATTTATTATGTATACAACATTCTGCTTCCATGTATATTTGCACATCAGAAGAGGGCACCAGACCTCATAAGGGATGGTAGTGAGCCACCATGTGGTTGCTAGGAAGTGAACTCAAGACCTCTGGAAGAGCAGTTGGTGCTCTTAACCTCTGATCCATCTCTCCAGCTCCCTGAGTGCATTTCTTAAATATGGCTAACCTAAGTGCATTTCTGAACTTATGCACTTACTAGCAGCTCCCCTTATTACTCCTCTTGCAGAGCAGATGAATGTACATTTATTAAAGAAAGGTGAGAAGTAACTCCTGAGTCTGAGAAATGTATAAGGGGATACTCTTTATCTCCCTTCTCTAAGCTTCAGTTTCCAACAGAACTGAGGTAGTGCAAATAAAGTAACTACCACAAAGTTTGGTACATGCTAAGTGCTCCATAAATGTAAATAAATTGTTATTTTTAACCAATCCTTTTTATATATTATTGGAATTTTTATTAAATGCTTTCTTGAATTGCTCAACAGTCAAAACTATTTTGAATTTCTCTAAATTTCTAGATTTAACCTCTTTTTGTTTGTTTTTAATCTAAGCATATTTTCCTTCCTTTCCTTTTGTTTGTCTGAGACAGGTCTCATATAGCCCAGACTGGCCTTGAACTTGATAGTGAGGATGACTCTGAACTCCTGATCCTTCTGTTCCTGCTTCCCAGGTGCTAGGATTACAGGTGTCAACAAACCCTGCCTAAGAGGGATTTAAAAGAAAATAGATAAATGGCTATTAAAACTAATAAAAACTGACAAAATACAAACATGAAATTAAAATAACAGATCTAATAACTGCTTCCATGAGCATATCATGTACAATTTCAAATTAATTTGATATACATTTTAACTTTTGAGATCATTTACTATTATGGTAACTGTTAAAAGCCTAATGCTTTCAGAAGAGGGAGATTTGGGGTACATGTTCCTAACAAAATTAAATATTCTGTTGAGAACCCTGGAGTGTATGACATATCAGCTATAGGCTGAGTAAATGAACAAGTTATAACATAATGATATATATATATATGTATACATATATATATATAAACAATTCATTAATTATTATGAAAATATTTTGAGAGTAGAATAGCAATAATGAGGAAACATTCTTAAAGAGGGAAATTTATATATATATTCTCCAAAGTGAAACTTAAGATACATATTATACACCTTTTCCCTAATGAGAATAAATTTAGGTAGAATTAATTCTGTGTATGGCTTGCTCCATAATCCTACTTTTATTCTCAAATGTTTTACAATTACAGAATTAGCTATTAAGCTTGTTTAATTTTTGTCACTGTCAATTAAGAAAATTAGACTTGGGAAAAATAATTTTAAGTGAGACATGTCATCATCTTGAGC